TTGTACAATGCACTTCGAAGTACAGTGCATTGTACAAGTAAGTGCCAGCCACACGCAAACTACTTGTACAGTATCTTGGTGAGGTTACATGTAGAAGTTACACACGCACAGTCCACGCAGTTATTTCTTCATGTTTTGTATTGATTTATCAATATTTGTAGCTTCTCCACGTGGGCATCAATGCAACGTGATTACAAGCAGCACGTAAATGAAGCGTTCACATAAGCAACGTGGAATGAATAATCAGTAACGAGTGGAATCATACATGTATACTCACATACATGTACATGACAATGTACTCAATCCATGCTAGAACTACATGTACTTGTGTGCGTATGTGCATATCGACATGCAACAGCAGAATAGGCAACAAAGGAACATATTGAATCGGATTGTTGATGAAGTAGGTGCTCGAACTAGCTAAGTTCTTAATTGAACACAATTAATTATTATTTTCAAGAAAGTCGTGGAATGTGTATGATCCTGATGACAAGAAGGATAAAACTTTCACTAGATGAAAGGAAATGGCTGTTTGACTGAGTGGACATGCATCACTGCATGCAAAGTTATACAGTGCGAAATTAGTTCGATCGCTCCCACACAATCATTTGAAAGAAGGCAGTCAATTGACAACTAATAATAAATAATAATATTCGCGGGATCTGCGTCGGCATCGCTTGAATGTTCAGAAACACACAAACTAGCCTTCGCATCCGCAGGCCACCAAATTGACAACTACTTGTATTTTAATTGATAAGGTGAACTTCAAATCGAAAAAGATCAGTCTGGGAAGTGAACTGCCTAAGAAGAGAAAAAAAGTGTCAACCCCACCGGCACTTGAACTCCGGATCTTGCTTGTCAAGAGCAATTTTTTTATTTTACTTGAAACCATGCACCCAATTCGTAAAAGAAGAAAGAAGCAGGAAACGACAAAACAACAGACTAACAAGACATTGACTGAATGGGGCTGCAAATGCAATGCAGCGGTGGTGATGGGGTGCTGCAGGCTCCGCCGACCAATGGTCTCGGCATCCGCGCCTACTTCACGCATCAGAAAATCGGGAGAAGAAGAGAAACAAAAAAAGATTGAAAAAACATATAGCGAAAAGTATAGTGTGGAGAGAGAGAGAGAGAGAGAGAGAGAGAGAGAGAGAGAGAGAGAGAGAGAGAGAGAGAGAAAGAAAGAGAGAGAGAGAGAGAGAGAGAGAGAGAGAGAGAGAGAGAGAGAGAGAGAGAGAGAGAGAGAGAGAGACAGAGAGACAGAGAGAGAGAGAGAGAGAGAGAGAGAGACAGAGACAGAGAGACAGAGACAGAGAGAGAGAGAGAGAGACAGAGACAGAGACAGAGACAGAGAGAAACAGAGAGAAACAGAGAGAGAGAGAGAGAGAGAGAGAGAGAGAGAGAGAGAGAGAGAGAGAGAGAGAGAGAGAGAGAGAGAGAAAGAGAGACAGAGAGAGAGAGAGAGGGAGAGAAAGAGAGAGAGACAGAGACAGAGACAGAGAGACAGAGAGACAGAGAGACAGAGAGAGAGAAACAGAGAGTAAAGAAAACAAGGAAAAAGAGAGCAATACCTACATGTAGATACTAGATAGGTGCGATTAGACTGAGTCAGTAGCCCACATCCAGTTCTCGGCGCGCAGGTAGCGGTATACCTGCGTCTTGAATGCCTGCATTCGGCTGCGATGGGGAGGATGCAGGAGAAGATCACAGGGTAATGCATTCCACTGGTGGAGCACACAGTGGGGAAATGATCGCTTCAGGACTAACGGGGTAGAGGGTGGCAGGCTGGCGTCCAGTTGAAACCGGTGGCCAGCAGCGCTGGCATGGTCGCTCCGGGTTCGCGGGTTGGCCGACTGCTGACGGCGAGCTGGCAGAACCGCGAGAAGTTGAGGTGGGCCCGTAATTACTTGTAGCTTGTATAAACAAGCTAGGGCAGCTACTGTCCGTCTGATTGCCAGACTAGGCAGCATTGCTCCCGGACCGATGATTCCGAGCGCCCTGCGCTGGACTCGGTCCAGTCGGCTGAGGTGGCTGGATGACGCTCCAATCCAAATAAGTGGGGCGTACTCCAGCAGCGGACGAAAGAATGCTTTGTACACTGTTATGCGCCCAGCCAGAGGGAGAAGATGAGCTGACCGGCGCAAAAGACCAAGTCGCTGCCTTGCCCGGGTTGCAACAGACCGGAGGTGCTCCCCAAAAGACAGCTTCTGGTCGAAGAGGACGCCTAGGAGGGTGATGGAGTTTGCCTCGGGGACTTGTATTCCGCCAAACATGATTGGCGGGAGGTGTACGTCAGCTCTTCGGAGCGTTGCAATCATTGCCTGGGACTTGGTGGGCTCAAATGCAATCTTCCATTTCTGGCCCCAGTTATGCAGCCGATCGATTTACAGTTGCAGTGAGTGCGCTGCACCTGCCCCGCTGCCATTCGACACAATGGAGTAAAGTGTGGTGTCGTCTGCGTATGCCTCCAGCTGGGCATCATCCACCAGAACAGAGGGTGCATCATTTACGTACAGTAAAAACAGTGTCGGGCCGAGTATGCTGCCTTGGGGAACGCCCGCAGTTATGGGGTACTGGGTAGACGTATAGCCACCCACCAAGCATCGTAATGAACGTGATGACAGGTACGACGACAGCCATGTGTGGAGTGGCCCAGTGATTCCTGCATTACGTGCCTTATGGAGAACACCAACATGGGACACCCGATCAAATGCCCCAGCAATATCAACAGCGAGGATACGAGCTGCTCCATTTCGCCCGACAGCATTAACCCAGGCATGATGCAGAGCCTGCAGAGCATCAGATGTACCCAATCTTCTCCTGAAACCAAACTGGTGGGAGGTGAGGAGCTGATGATGTTCCAGATGGTTTGTAACCTGGCTGTTCACAATAGTCTCCATCACCTTCGAGATGATGCTCAGCAACGAAACAGGGCGGTAGTTCTTGAGCACGGAACGCGAAGCCTTTTTGTGGATAGGAACCACGTTTGCCGTTTTCCACATCTTGGGTTGAATGCCTCGCCGGACGCAGAGGGAAAACAGCTGACACAGTGGTGAAGCTAGTTCTTTGGCACACTCCTTGAGCACTCGGGCAGATATTTCATCCGGTCCCGATGCCTTTGACGTATCCAGTCTAGCCAGAACTCGACGCAATGCTTCAGGTCGGAAGTGAATGGTACTGATCGGTTGGGATGTGGGCAAGTCGTGGGGAGGGAGATCAGCAGTGGAGATGTCGTCGCCGGGGATGCTACACTTCTTTGCAAAGAAGCGTCCAAATGCCTCCGATTTCTCTGCACTTGTTGCGTACTCGTGGCCATCGACGTCAGCAATCAGCGGTATATCTGTATGGCGCCCCATGCCACTTGCACACTTGAGCTTTGTCCACCACTGCTTGCTGTGCATGGACCCGTTTGATAAGCTGCGGCGTAGGCTGTCCTCCTTAGCCTGACGGGCTCGGAAGAGGATTACAACAGCCTCATTGACAGACGTCACAAATTGTTGCTTAAGTATGACGTCCTGGGGGAAGCGCCTCCAGGACCGCCAATGCCTGTCTTTGATGGCCATTGCCCGCGTGCACTCCGGGGTCCACCACTTTGAATCTGATGGCTTGGTGGTCATTGCCTTTGACGGAACGAACTGGGCGACGGCGTTGGATATCGTGGCAGTCACCTGCTGGCAAGAAGTGTCCGGGTCATCCGTTATGATGTCAGACCAGTTGGTATTCCTAAGGTGGGAGCGGAGACGGTTCCAATCTGCTTGGTTGTAGCGCCAAACAGTTCTGTGGGTGCGCTTCTCTTGCTGCACTCGAGCGGGGAATGTGGCAACAACTACAGCGTGATCTGATTTACCAACAGGAGGCAGCACATCTACCTCCACTGGCTCCTGGAAGTCGGACATTATCAGGTCAAGAGTGTTGTTTCCGCGGGTTGGTTCTGCCACATGCTGGGTGAGGCCATGCAGGGCACACATATCCTCAGCGGCTTCGCCGGCTAGAGACGTCCTGCTGCTCTGAAGCCAACTGCTGTTGTGCACGTTGAAGTCCCCGGCAATTACGAGCTTGGCGCCTTGCTGTCGCACTCGACCGATTGTGCTGTCAATATAGTCCAGGATTGAGATGTCATGATCTGCACATGAACCTGGCCGATAAGCGGCACACACTGTAACACGACACCCTATTTGCAGTTGCACTATAAGCCATATGACTTCCAGGTCACCGCAGGTTATCTGCTCCATGTGGCTATAGGCGAGGCCCGAACGTACCCAGACGGCGACTCCACCGCCTTGCGCTGTACGATCTCGGCGGATTGGCGGTGAATAGCCAGGTAGCGTGACATCCATTGCTGTACACTTCTCAGAGGTAAGCTTCGTCTCGGTTACGATTGCAATGTCCGGGCAGGTGGACATAACTGTGTGCTGAAACTCTCCAAATTTACTCAGCAGGCCAAATGCATTTGTTAGCAGTAATTTGAACAATGGTCCCTGGGTGGGTGGCTTCTGTCGCGGGAAGAATGGTTGGGCATGCGGGTTCATGAGCAGAGAGTCTAGCTGGTTGGCTGTGCTATCCTTTGCTGCCGCTAGCGGGTTTCCTACTTCGATTTCTGGCTGAAATAGCTCGTTGGTGTCAGATACTGCCTGGTTTCTTTCGTCAGTTCCTGATGGCGATGAGTCATCAGTTCCTGCTGGCGAGCAATGCTCTAGCCGTTCGAGCCATGGGACCAGGCTAAACGGAGAAGGCGCGGACAGGTTTTCACCTCCTACTGAGACCGATCCAATAGCTAGCGTAGGACCCTGGCTTACGTCACACAGGTTCTACACCTACAAGTTCAAGAGGTGTGTGCGCTCATATCACTAGTACTGTCTTATTACTTATTGCTGGCTGGCCGTTTTGGATCCATCAGTTGCCAGATGATCGTAGTAATACGTGAAACTCAGAGTTGTGAACAAGCTTCCAATCTCTCTTGTTTATAAGTCAGAGATCTGAAGTTTCCAGGCGACCAGTTGAGTTTTGCACATCAGACGACGAGAAGAGATTTTTAATCCTGGGGAATTTTGTGCCTGTCCGATACCATCAGTTCTAATTTTCTTTCCCTCTGGGCAAGGTAAGGATGGATGTTTTCAGCAAGCCAAGCTAAACGTTCTCAGGGATTACTGATAATGGATTGTTATTGTGCATCACATTTTCTGACTATATGCTGATAGAATCTGGAATGAACATAGCCCTAGACAAACCGATCGATGTGACACTCTAGAGCATCTCGCGTGTATGTGGCTGTGTGCGCGAGCGTGTACGTGTCGTTGTCTGTATTTGTTCTTCAATGTGTGAAGGTTGGCTGTGTCTGTCGCCAGGATAGTGATCGAAAAACATTCATACATACATTGCCAATGGATTCCAGTCAGCAATCTGACCATTCCGATGACGAAACATCAGCGGTAGCCCTTCCACAACATATCACCGCCACCAGTGAGCATGATAGTCTTTTGCCAGGGACTGTTCCTGTTGAGCATACTGTTCGGAATGATGAAGTCATGCAAGAAGAACTGTCGCTAGAGGAAGCAGCCGCGGGTTTGGTTAATGAATCTGAAGATCAACAGTCAAGGGCGCTAGAATCAGTCGAGTCAGGACTTGGCAATGTTACATTTGATGTATGGTGCTCAACTCTATTACCTTTGCTGTCTATTGCGGACATCTTTCAATTGTGTGGGGTTAGTAGACGCTTGAAGGAATGGTTATACAATGACTCGACGTTCAAGGGTCTATGTCAGGTGAGTGCGAATGCGCGATGTGAATGATTTGTAAATTTTCTGAAATATGGTTCCAGTTATTCCGCTTTCCAGTTGCATTGGGATAAACCTTGCGCATACCTGCCAGCGGGTGTTAGCGGCCGTCGTGAGTTCCCTTCGGGAACGGATACGATAATTTACTTTTTTTTTTACACCTGGGAAGAACTGAAAGGCTTTTCCTTAAGGAGGATCCAACCTTCTGCGCTGCCTAGCCGGTCTGGCGCTCTGTTTTTTTGCAGGCAAAAGTCTTGTTTTGCCGATAAGTGCGAAAAGTTGGGAAATTCCCTTCTCAACTTACTAAAATTTGAACTCCGCGATCCACAGTCATATCAGAGAATATTGTTTCATTCTTCACCTGTAGTCTTCCCTGGGCCCCATGGAGGTTCCTGTTGTTTTCTCTTCCGTTGTGTCAGTGGGTATCAGGGCATGTTTTCAAAAGCATCGCTGGTGTGAGCAAGAAGTTGACTTCACAGCTCGATTTCTCGAGATCCTGAATAATTTTGCTTGGCGAAAAATGACCAAGGAGAACGGAGCCAAGCGTCTCGATGGCTGTGTAACACCAGGGACCAAAACCTACTGTAAGCGAGTTTGGGAGAGAGAGACTGAAGTGGGTGCACAGACTCTGGAAAGTGGATCCACGTCTAATTCTCAAGTGGCGAAGTATATTGCTACGCTGAAAACATTGCAGTCTTGAGTGAGTGGTAAATCGTTGGTGAGCTACTGCTCAGTGACTTGGGCTATTTACGAAAGCTGTGACCTGTCAGGTGCCAACGTCGCCAGCAGTAAGTCATCACCTGCGTCCACTTCAATAATTATTATAATGTGCCTAAAATGCAGCACTGAAAATTGAGTATGTTGTTTTGCAGTACTATTCTCTATTGTCAGAGTGTGAAGTATTTTGTAAATGTTGTGTTGTACAGCACCAGTGATTTGAAAATATTCCTACACTACTCGCACCAGTTCTATTATGATGAATGCATGCACCTGTACCCATAAGCACCATGTGCATGCACATACGCAGGCACGAGTGTGAGCCTACATGTTGTGTGTGTGTGTGCGCGGGCGCGCGCGCAGTACATGTTGTATGTATGCGCGCGCGCGTACGCGTGCACAAGTGCATGGACAGCAGAATATGGTAACGAAGCTCAAGAGCATGCATTTTACATGTGAGTGTATGCTATTGCGGGTGCGCGTATACGACGTACATGTATTTGTGTGTGCAAGGGGTACTTGCTTGTGAGTGTGAGTATGTGCATGTAAGCGTACATGTATGTATCAATGTGGGCAATGTGCATGCACCCACATACACTTGTGGTTGTTCCATGTTATTGGGAATAGTGTTATGATTATACCTAATGGATGCTATAATTACTGGCAGTCGTTCATTGCCAATATTGAGTTGAACCTGCATCTACATTGTACATGTACTACAAACATGAAACTGTGAAGTTATTGGCCCAGATTATAATAATTATTGTTATCCTTCTCAAGCTCTTTGCCTGTTGCTTCATGAGAAATACTAGGAGTGAACTATTGCAAGAGTTGTGTTCTGGGTATGTAGGCCTCAGCCTGGATCATGAATAACGTTGTGCATGGATCATGCCGATATCCAGATCAAGGGCTAAAAAGCCCAGGAACCATGGCCTCATCTAGTCTCCATGTATACTATAACAATCTGGGGGACCATTCAATGCTTTTGACACAAAAAATTGGAGTGATACCACAAGGAATGCATGGAATGATCACCTTACCTGAAAAAACTAATTCCAAGAATGGTGGAAAATCGGCCAATTTTCTGTCCTATTTTTATTTTTGGAGGTCTAAAATGCACGGTAACCCCCCTAAAATTATATATTTCTAGCTTCTATGAAGTATGAAGGCAGATCCCAAAAATAAAATAAAAAGGGCATGTCCATGAAGAAATTATGAAGCTGTGCACCCAATTGTACTTTGCGGACGGGCATTTCTGCGAAGTTCATTTTTGTACCAAAATTACTATTTTTCTGAGTAGTCAATGCTGATTGCCAGATTTTCTTGCTCAAATGCTTCACTGTGATGTGTGAAAGGACTTACAATCACAAAGAGAAGCCAGACAACTGGTAAATCTGAAATATGACCCCAAAACAAGCAAATTTAGGCCGAAATCGATAAATACACCCACCCCTAGAAATACACCTCAAACAGCCTTATCTCCGCGGAAACACCCCCTGAATTTTTTTGTGGAGTAACATAGGATGATATAGAGCACACTCATCCACAAAAAGGAGGGGTTTAGGAAGAAAAAAACCACCCCCAAAGGGTTGGAGCCTCCTTAATAGTCGGCGTGGATATATTCTTTAAATACAAGCATTTAGCCCAAGTAGTTATGTGTTCATTATGAGTTTTTGCCACATTCATAAGTGGTATTTCGTAACTAAAGGCATAACAGAAAACAACATAAGGATATAAGGACTTTTCCCGTTTGTCTCTTTCCCTCAAAACCAGTCAACATAAGGATACATTCGGAGATAATGAAAATGCCACAAACAACAGCAAAATGCATTGATTATTTCAAGAAAGATAACGCAAATTGCGAGTAGATATATAGTGATCGCTCTGCACAGCTAGCGAGGTGATTGAAAGCGAGAGAGTGTGATGGTGAGATCGAATAGTGAACGTGAAGTACAGGACAAATGTGAGTGTAGTGACTTTTTCCTTTGCTTAAAACCTTCACATAACGGATACGAAAATACAACGCTTCGAGGACTTTCCATTTTGCTGAAAGTACTAGCACGTTACGAAACACAAAACCATAAATGATTGTACTGTTCTTGACAAACATGATCAAGAAACGAATGTGTCTTGGTAGCAGACGTGTCCTTCTTCTTCTTCTTGTCTTCCCGAACCTTACTATTACTTCTAAAACACAAGGATAATTGATGTTTGCTCATACATGTAATTGCCATGCATTTCTTTAGTGCTACATTTTTGAAATATGTGTTTTCCAATTCGAAATGGTGTGGTTTTCTTATCGCTCACCCAGCCCAATTTTTTAATTCCCATGTTTTTACGTCATGATTTACTGTCTTGTTCTTGTTCCGGTGTCTCATGCCTGCAGCACCGGTATCAAATCAGTCCAAGTTTGGAGATGTCCTACATTCAGATTGCCAAGGTCATCTACATCGCCACCAGGGTAGCTAGCCTGCATCATAGCTCCAGTGCGGAGTTCAGGAACTGCGTGATCCTTTGCGACGATCTTAGTGTTTTCCAACACAAAAAGCGGTCGATTGTACAATTATCAAGCCTGGCGCTGAGACTGCCTGAGAACGTGAATACGCCTCCTAGCTGGACCAGCACTGGGCAGTTGAGGTCACTTGCACAAAAGCCGTGCCTGTTCGTCGATGAAGCTTGTACCCACCTTCCAAACATTTCACCGACGTTGATCGAAACAACATGCAACGTGGAAACAGGATTCTTATTATTACCTTCTTTGTACAGACTTGAAGATCTAGTGAAATTGTCGTTTGATAGGTGCAGCTCTATTGAACAGTATCAAACAGCAATTATCAAGGATATGGAGAAGGATAGTTCGGAGATGGTCCAATATTTGTCCTCAACGAACCGCTCTAGCAGGCTAGTGTGCATTGCGAAAGGGTTTTATAGCGCCGCAAAGCGAGATTCGATTTTAGTCTCTTTAGTCAAAGATGATCATTTGATCGCTCAACTCACAGAGTGCTTAGCTGATTCTTGGACCTATAACCCCTTCTATCATTTTCTTATAAATTATGGAAACAGTGACATACCTGACACATTTGCCTCCAAACAATGGATTAGCGCGACTGCACTGCTCGCAACGAGACACTCTGTGATCAATCTGATGATCAAAGGCAGCCTACGCACAGAACAAGTCGAGGATTACTTCACAGCTATGCTTGAGTACAACAAGCTCTGGATGAGTTTGCCACAGTCCAGTCGCCCCAGGTGTGACCATCTATACCGTGGCTTGGGTACCTACATATTTGATTCATCACCAGGGTCAGATTCGAAGAGGACATTGACCAAAGTCGAATTCCTCAACGCTATGAAACAGTATGGCGATGAACTTGCTGGCAATGGGATTTCGCACACCTTAGACTTTAAATAATATTCCTCCTGCTGAAAAAGCCCCAACAAGTTTTGCACAGCATATCCCTAGACATTTCTGTCTGTTCATAAGTTTCGATATTGCTAACTTTGATTCCGACTCTTTTGATCTTGCTGACTTGCTCAATGCAGTGTTGGTATTACAGACTGATACAATGTTTGAGAGGCGACTAAGCACGTCTGCAAGCCGTGGAAGCATTACGTCATAGTTTATTCTCTACCCGAATCCTCACCTATTCTCAAATCTCGCTTCCACTGCTTTTTGCATTTTAAAATTTTTTAATATCTTTAAAATTCGCTGCACGTACTTTGAAGTATCTTTCCTATTTTTGTCCACAAGACAAGCACAAGTTGAAAGTCACAGCTGTGCAGGACGTTAGCGGATATACATGCAGGTCGATGACGATACTGGCAAGACCATTATTTTCACAATAGCTGTAGAACGTCAGTACTGTTGGTCAGTTTTGTGCAATGTTATCGGATGAGTTAATTGTACCTCTTAATTTGCTGGCCAAAAATCCTATATATAGGATTTGAAAATGTGTGGCTTTTATGCCGTTTGGTATTAGTCATCACGACAAATAATAACGGCATAATGATTTTCATGGAAGTTGTAAGTATGTTTGAGGCACGAATGTTTACATTTTAGATTCATAGGGCGATAATATTTCTGATGAATACCCATTTTCAGCAATAATCGGAAATTTGAGCAAAATTGATCAGCTGCTGTCATGGTTAGGACTGAAGCAGTGAATGTGCAGAAGGACATTGCAGGTGTGGCACGGGGTGGTTTCATGATGACATATCGCACATGCCGTCATGAAACTACCAATTTTAAGGATAAAACAAGGTCCAATGAAATCTCAAGTCCTATATATAGGATTCGAAAAATAGGGCACAGGCCTTAGTAATATTGAGCAAGGAGATGAGCCTGAGATGTTAGTGTTTGAAAAAATGACCTTATTCAACTCTCGATATCTACTAAGACCTAGCAAGGAAGAATTGGTCACATACTTTTTGCTATTCTCATGCCACACCCATTTTGAGTTGAAAATATGACCAAAATCCTATATATAGGATTTAGCAAATTAAGAGCTATCTATAGTAACTGGTGGTGTTAGTGGACATTATTGCATAGCAAGTGTTTTCTTGGTCCTTATCTTTACTACTAAATACTGCGACAGAGCTTTCGGCCATATTTTCAATTCATTGCATTCCCAACTCATCACAACCACGCGCTCTTCAGCCGAACCATACAGACACCAGCAAGGACACTTCCGTTGAGAGATAATATTGCTCCACGCCTCTAGACAGCTGTTTCGCTCCCTGTCGGAGCTCATCAGTAGAGGATGATAATGATGATAATGGAGAGATGATCAGTCTTATACACAAGAAATGGCGCAAGTGCGCGCTTTCCACATATATCAATGGCATATGCAAGCTGCTAAAATGGTAAAGTGTGAGAACAGCGATAAATATCAATTTTGCTACACGTTGGTTACCTTCATCAGTACCGCTTGGAAATAACTCGTATGTTGTTGATGTTGTCACGTAAACTTGAACTATGAAAAAAACTTGAATTTCATCTGCAAACCTAAACAACTACAAGTGCCTCAATTTGATCATGCAGTTTTGTTAGTTACGTGCATCCCCTCACAAATTTAAAGAAAAAACGAGCTTGAGTTACGTCTTACCTCCGGTGTCAACTCGTATCAAGTGGAGTTAATCCTGGGGTGAACGTGGAGATGTCCAACTGCGGAAGACATCTTGTCTCTTCACAGAAAACTACCACGATGAAAAAATTTCTTTACCTTTTCAAAGGAACTACTTGGTAGGAGTGAGCATAGAAAAATTCTACACAGCTATTTGCATTGAGTAATGTCTGGCTTCGAGAGTGAGGTATTACGTGTCATGCGATTGAAATAGTAACAATGTGTGGCAGCATGGTGAAAGCTGGTTCAAAAAACAGCCAACCATTAGATTGCGGTTGTCTAGTTAACCGTGGCCTGGGCGTCAAGAAGACTTAGTATTGTCAGTAGTAGCAGTAGTGTAGTTCAACAATACAAGTATACAGCTTTTGATGTGCGTAGGGCGCCCTGCAATTTGCACACGTGTGTCATCTAGGCAAACCGTGGTAAGTTAGTTTATCAAGATTGGAAACAGCAAGTAACATACAGTTGTAGTGAGGGTCAAAACCGGATGCGATACCAATTATGGTTCAAATGGTCCGCAGGGACCGGGGCTCTGCCAACCTCGGGAGGTTGTAGTAAGGTCACTGTTTCCGCACACAGTGTCCTCCACCTTGTGTCATGCTGTCAATCTAACAATTACATGATTGTACTGTGGTATTAGATTGACTAGGAGTTAGACGTCTCTCTTACATCTTGTCTATCTCCTCTTTTTAAAAGAAATATGCTTTTTTGTGTCGGTTTTGATTACGGTACTAGCGCTGAGAACGATGGCCTGAAAGATAGGTCGTTGAGATATAAGTGGTCAGAACTTTGAATGCCGTGGAGTAATAGGAAAGAGCCAGGTTGTGAATTTGGTTGTCCTCAAAAGGTCCTCAATGGTTCGGGACGCTGAACAGGTCGGAGGATCGGCAAAAACTCGTGATTGTACAAAAGCAACGCCAACTTTGGCAACTGGGCTTCGTACGGGAGTAGACTCCTGGATCATCAGTTGTCACAGAGCCATGTTGTGGTCCCAATACATTGTGAGTACCAATGAGTCCCGCGGTGAGTCTATCGGAAACTGTTGTAGTCGACAATGCTGAGAAAACGTGTGATACTCAGTGAACCTTAACCAAGTCCACTTTTCAGCCCGCAGATCTACAGTGCAGTGCAAGTAGATTCCACGCGCTAAGATAAAGACTTTTAGTGCACCCTCCACAGTCATCCCCTACAGGATTTCATCCACATCAGAACATTGTACAATGCACTTCGAAGTACAGTATTGTACAAGTAGGGGCCAGCCACACGCAAACTCCTTACACAGTATCTTGGCGAGGTTACATGTAGAAGTTACACACGCACAGTCCACGCAGTTGTCTCCTCATGTTTTGTACTTTCATCAATATTAGTAGCTTCTCCGCGTAGGCATCAATGCAACGTGACTACAAGCAGCACGTAAATGAAGCATTCGCATAAGCAACGTGGAATGAAGAATCAGTAACGAGTGGGATCATACATGCATACCCACGTACATGTACATTGACATTGCACTCAATTCACGCTAGAACTACATGTACTTGTGTTCGTATGTGCATATCGACATGCAACAGCAGAATAGGCAACAAAGGAACATATTGAATTATTGATGAAGTAAGTGCTCGAACGAGCTAAGTTCGTAATTGAACATAATTAATATTATTTTCAAGAAAGTCGTGGAAAAGCTTAAATGGAATGTGTCTGATCCTGATCACAAGAAGGATAAAACTTTCACTAGATGAAAGGAAATGGCTGTTTGACTGAGTGGACATGCATCACTGCATGCAAAGTAATACTGTGCGAAATTAGTTCGATCGCTCCCAAACTATCATTTGAAAGAAGGAAGTCAATTGACAACTAATAATAAATAATAATATTCGCGGGATCCGCGTCGGCATCGCTTGAATGTTCAGAAACACACAAACTAGCCTTCGCATCCGCAGGCCACCAAATTGACAACTACTTGTATTTTAATTGATAAGGTGAACTTCAAAACGAAAAAGATCAGTCTGGGAAGTGAACTGCCTAAGAAGAGAAAAAAGTGTCAACCCCACTGGCACTTGAACTCGGGATCTTGCTTGTCAAGAGCAATGCTCTAGCCGTTCGAGCCATGGGATCAGGCTGAACCCAGAAGGCGCTGACAGGTTTTCACTTCCTACTGAGACCGATCCAATAGCTACCGTAGGACCCTGGCTTACGTCACACAGGTTCTACACCTACAAGTTCAAGAGGTGTGTGCGCTCATATCACTAGTACTGTCTTATTACTTATTGCTGGCTGGCCGTTTTGGATCCATCAGTTGCCAGATGATCGTAGTAATACGTAGAACTCAGAGTTGTGGCAAAGCTTCCAATCTGTCTTGGGTATAAGTCAGAGATCGGAAGCTTACAGGCGACCACTTGAGTTTTTGCACATCAGACAGCGAGAAGAGATTTTTCCTCCTAGGAAATTTTGTGCCTGTCCAATACCATCAGTTCTAGTTTTCTTTTCCTCTGCGCAAGGTAAGGATGGATATTTCAGCAAGCTAGGATAAACGTCCTCAGGGTTTACTGATAACGAAATGTTATTGTTCATCACACTTTCTGACTATATGCCGAGAGAAACTGGAATGAGGATAGCCCTAGACAAACCGATCCATGTGACACTCTAGGCCATGTCGCGTGTGTGTGGCTGTGTGCGCGTGTGCGCGTAGGTGTCTGTATTTTTGTTCTCCAATGTGTGTAGGTTGGTTGTGCCTGTCTCCAGGATGGAGATCGAAAAACATACATATGTACATACATTGCCAATGGATTCCAATCAGCAATCTGACCGTTCCGATGACGAAACATCAACCGTGGTTCTTCCACAACATATCACCGCCACCAGTGAGCATGATAGTCCTTTGCCAGGGACTGTTCCTGTCGACCTTACTGTTCGAGATGATGAAGTCATGCAAGAAGAACTGTCGCTAGACGATGGATCCACGGGTTTGGTTAATGAATATGAAGATCAACAGTCAAGGGTGTTAGAATCAGTCGAGTCAGGACTTGGCAATGTTCCATTTGACGTATGGTGCTCAACTCTGTTACCTTTGCTGTCAATTCCGGACATCTTTCAGCTGTTTAGGGTTAGTAGACGCTTGAGGGAGCTGCTATACAATGAGTACACAATCCAGGGTCTATGTCAGGTGAGTGCCAATGTGCGATGTGAAGGATTATTTGTGAATTTTGGTTTTAGTTATTCTGCTTTTAAGTCGCATTTGGACAAAGCACGGTCATACCTGCCAAGTACTGAAAGTGCTTTTTCCTAAATAGGTCGCGTGGTTAAATCCTTTAAAATATTATAGCTATGAGCAACATTTGAAAATGCGCGGTCTTTATCACAAACATATCAACCAAAGTAGTTATGTGTTCCGTACCGGTTTATTCTCACATTCATCAGTGGCATATCGTGACTAATGGCATACAGAGAACAACCTAAGGTTACATACATTATAGAACAGAGATAATGAAAGTGCCAAAAACAACAGCAAAAATGAATTCAATATTAATTTTCATGAAAGATAAGGCTATACATCTATTTTGATATCACTGATAAAAGAAATTTTATCCAGGTCATGCGCGAGTGAATAGCAACTGAATAAAGCGGTTGTCAGCTGACAAAACCCCTTTTATTTACTATGCAGTTGCATGATGTCTACCGCTTTCTGAGGATATGGCTAGATGTGAGAGTAGGCACAGGTGATTGTACGCGAGAAAGTGTGATGATGAGAATGAATAGTGATTGTGAATTAAAGCAAAAAATGTGAGCGCAGTGACATTTTCCTTGTGATTACAACTGTAGTATCCCTGCCCGACCAATACGGAAGCAGTACGGAACTAATACGGAGCTTTGCCTGACGTATATTTAGTGTATCTCCGTATGTAAGCGTGCGGCGTCTGCTGCATATAAGCGGCTGCGCATTTCTGTTTTGATGAAGAGAAGATTAGATTAGATTGGATAG